TCGCGCACCTTGGGGGCGCCGCTAAGGATGCGGGCCAGGCAGGCCGCCCTTGCGCATCCTTGCCGCCGAATTGTGCGCGGCGCGGCGCCGCTGGGGGCGCCGCCTGGGCATGCTGGACAGGCATGCGTCCTGAGAGTTTCTCAGGAACCCTCGGGGTCTCTCTCAGGAGTCCTCAGAAGTCTTGAGGGTGTCTCAGGATCCCTGGGGGGTCCAGAATCCTGAGGGTGTCTTAGGATTCCTTTGGAGTGTGGATTAGGCTGGCGCTTAGGCTGAGGCTTTGATTCTGCCGAAGCTTAAGCATATGTGGGCTGAGGCTCAAGCAGAGGCTTGGGCAGGCGCTGGGCCTCGGCATGGGCATCGCTTAGGCCGGGTTGAGGCTATGCTTTGGCAGGGCGGAGATTGGCGTTTAGGCTGGGCTGGGGCTTGGGCTCAGGCTGCGGCTCATGCCAGGCTGGTGCTGGGGCTCGGGCTAGGCTGAGGCTGAGGCTTGGACTGAGGCCAGGCAACGCTTGGGCTGCGGCTGGGGCCAGTCTGAGGCTGAGGCTCGGGCTATGCCTCAGCCTGTGCTGGTTAGTCTGGACTTCAGGTGATGCCCAGGCTGTGGCTTAGGCTGAGCTGGGCTGACGTCGAGGCTTATGCTGAGGCTGTGGCCTATACGTGGGATGGGCTCAAGCCAGTCTTTGGGTGGCGCTTGGGCTGGACTGAGGCTTGGGTTCAAGCTGAAAGCTAAAGCTACAGCTTCGGCTGGGCTTCGGTTAGGCTGAGGCTCAGACAGGGCTGACCGAGGCTGCGGCTTAGACTTAGGCTGAGGCTAGGGCTAGACCTCTAATTGCTCTATGCGTAGGCTGAGGCTCAGGCTGGCTTAGGCTCAAGCCTAGGCTAGGCTGATGCCGACGCTTTGGCTAAGGCTGGCGCCAAGGCCGATGCTGAGGCTAGGCTGAGGCTGAGGCTTAGGTTGTGCCGAGGCGGAGGCTAGGGCTTAGGCTGAGGCTGACGCCAGGCTTAGGGTGATGCTGAGGCCCGGCCAAGGCGAGGCTGCTGCATAGGCTGAGGCTGAGGCGTGGGCTAGGCTAAGGATAAAGCCGATGCTGATGTTTAGGCAAGGCTGGATCATCGGCTTAGGTTGACGCGGACGCTGGGGCTTAAGCTTAGGCGTGGCCAGTGCTTGGCTTGGCCTCAGGCCGAGGCCGAGGCCGAGGCTGTGGGCGTGAACGTTGCTAGAACTAGGCTGGGGCACATGCTAGGTTGGTTTGAAGCCCAGGCTTACGTTTAGATTTAGGCGAGTTGAGGCCCAAGCTAGGATTAGGCTGGCGTTTAGGCCGCGGCTTGGGTCATGCCGAAGCTTAGGCTTACGTATTTGGGCTGAGGCTCGAGCAGAGGCGTGGGCAGTGTCTGTGACCTCGGCTTGGGCACCGCTTAGGCTTGGCCGAGGCTATGCTTCCGCTGGGCTGAGGCTGACGTTTAGGCTGGGGCTTGGCTTAGGGCTACGGCCGCGGCTCATGCCAGGCTGGTGCTGGGGCTCGGGCTAGGCTGAGGCTGAGGCTTGGGCTGAGGCCAGGCAACGCTTAGGCTGCGGCTGGGGCCAGTCTGAGGCTGAGGCTCGGGCTATGCCTCAGCCTGTGCTTATTAGTCTGGGCTTAGGCTGATGCCCAGGCTTGGGCTTAGGCTGAGCAGGGCTGGCGTTGAGGCTTATGCGGAGGCTGTTGCCTATACTTGGGACGGGCTCAAACCAGTCTTTGGGTGACGCTTGGGCTGGGCTGAGGCTTGGGTTCAGGCTGAAGCTAAAGCTATGTACAGCTTAGGCTGGACTTCGGCAGGGCTTCGGCCAGGCTGAGGTTCAGGCTGGGCTGACCGAGGCTGCGGCTTAGACACAGGCCGTGGCTTGGGCTAGACTTCTTATTGCGCTAAGCGGAGGCTGAGGCTCGGGCTGAGGCCGATTTGGCTGGGGTGATGTATAGGATGGGTCTCAGGTTGGGATGATGCTTAGCGTGGGGCTTGGGCGCGAGCTGAGGCTGAGGCCTGGGCTGGGCCAGATTGTGGCTCAAGGATTTGCTGGAGCTTAGGCTGTGCTCGTTCGCGGGTTCGGCTCAGCTGAGGCTGCGCGCCCACGGTGCGGGCGGGTCCCTCCGCGTTCTTCGGTCACCATGTCTGGGTGCTGCTTCCACAAACCACGCGCTCGTCGATGATGGCGGCGCGGAGACTTGCGCCCTCGCCTGTTCTTGGGGGACAGCCGCCTGGAGGCGGGGGGCCGAGGGTTGCAGGGGCAGGGCGCGCGGCCGCGGCCTGGCGCCCCAGGCGGTCGTGCGAGGTCGCGCGCGGCTCCCTGGCGCAGGGGCTTGGGCGGGATCCTGGGCTCATGCATGAATGCCAGGGCGTGCGACGTAGCGCTGGGGCCCACTGCTAAGGCCCGACGGAGTGGGTCGCAGGCCTCGCGCGCCCGCGGCGCGGGCAGGGCCCTCCATGTTTTTGGGTCTCGAATGTTCTTCGGTCTCGGTGTCAAGGCGCTGGCTCCAGCAACCGCGCGCTCGTGGGCGATGGCGGCGCGGGGGCGCACACCCTCGCATGTCCTTGTTTTTCGGGGACAGCGGCCTGGAGCTGCTGGGCCTCAGGTGGCGGGGCCAGGCCGCGCTGCCGCGGCCTTGAGTCTGGGGCTGGCAGGCCAGGTCGCGCGCGGCTCGCTGGGGCATGAGGTCGAGGGCGAGAGCTTGGGCGGGTGCGCGCATGAGTGCCAGGGCGTGCGACGCGGCGCTGAGGCCCACTGCTATGGCTCAGAGTCCGAGGCCGCAGGCCTCGCGCGTCCGCGGCGTGGGCAGGTCCCTCCATGTTCTTCGGTCTCGGTGTCAATGTGTCGCCTCCAGCAGCCGCGCGCTCGTGGATGACGGCGGCGCGGAGACGCACACCCTCGCATGTTCTTGTTTTGGGGCAACAGCAGCCTGGAGCTGGGCCTAGGGTGGCGGGGGCCAGGCCGCGCGGCCGCGGCCTTGAGTCTGGGGCGAGCAGGCGAGGTCGCGCGAGGCTCCCTGGGGCGCCGCGGGGTTGGGGCGAGAGCTCGCGCGCGTGCATGAGTGCTAGGGCGTGAGACGTGGCGCTGAGGCCCACTGCTAGAGCCCGACTAAGCTGGTCGCAGGCCTCGCGCGTCCGCGGCGCGGGCAAGACCCTCCATGTTCTTCGGTCTCGATGTCGACGTGCTGCCTCCAGCAACCGCGCGCTCGTGGATGACGACGGACGCGCGGAGGCAGATCCAGGGCACAGGAACACAGCGTGGGTCTGGGGGGGCGGGGGGGGGGGGAGGGGGTCAGGGTTTCGGGGTTGCGTGGTCCAGGCTGTGCAGCCGAAGGCTTTAGGCTGGGGGCTGAACCAGATGCGTACTTACGCACGTTGGCTCGGAAGTGAAGGTCGTGGACACCTCGGAAGGGCATCCTCGACGTCCTTATGGTTTGGGGTACTTTGGCCCGCGGAGGGTCTCATGTTCTTGCTAGATGTGTTTGTGTCCTTGTTCCCGCCGTATGACCTCGATTTGAGAATACGGAAACTGTACCAGATAGGGGTTCAGGACAATCAAACAATATCGAATCGCGATTGAGGAGTTTGAGGAAACAGTGCAGACTCGTGACGTAGGAATAAGGAAACACTATGTGATCGCGATTGGGGAGTACGATAACAATACAGAATCGCGATTGAGGAATAAGGAAACCGTATGGAATTCCGTTTTCGGTAGAACGACACACAGTGGAGTGCTAATAGTACTAGTACGCCCCCCTAGTACGACTACTATTGAAGCACTGCTGCTTTACATTTACAATCCGGGCTCTCGCGCTTTTCCTCCTCTGGTTGCGCTGCGGGGGGACCCCGCGCGCCAGCGCCCCCGCGACTGACAGTTCATTTCCCCTCCAGAATTTTAGGCAGGAGTAACCCCCGTGCTCGAACCTCTCGCCAGGGATTTGGTTTTGTATCGCGGAAGCCAGGCCCCCATGGGTTTCTCGGCGCTCCTTGGAAATCATGTTCTTCCAACTGGCCTCCCACGTTGGAGTCGCCCAGGTGAAGTTGCAAGGCGACGCTCAAACGAGCATCCTTCCACAGACGTCGCGTCAGTGCACCCCGCCATCGTGTCTGATTCGGTGGCCACAGGCATGTTAGATGCCCCTCGGGTTCTCTTGCGCTGCCCCTCGGGGGCCTCTTGGAGACTTCCTGGGGTTCCTCGGGGCCTTCCTGGGGTTCTTCGGGGCCTCTTGGGGGGCCTCGTGGGGGGCTCTTGGGAGGCGCTTGGGGTTTGCTGGCGGTCTCGGAGGCCCTCTCGGGGGCCTGCTGGCTGGTGTGCCGTCTTGGGGTGCTCTTGGGCTGCCTTCTGGCCCTCTCGGGCGATCTTGGGCTCTCCTGGGGGCCTCTAGGGCAGTCGTGTTCGGTAGGAAATCATGGGAGCCTCTTTGCCCTCGTCACTCGTTTTTCAGAGGGCATTCGTAGCGGCTAGCGTCTGGTAAGCGCGATGGGAGAGCGCAGGTTTAGCGTCGATCAGCGTGGATTCGCTCGTGCGAACAAGATGATACGGGAGGCCCCCGTGGGTTGCCGCAGAAGTGGTCTATGGGGTCATCTTGGAGCGATCTCGGGGGCCTCTTGGGCCGACTTGGGATGTCGGATGCCCGGAAAAGCGAAAACGCCAAAATCTCACAAACATCTAAGGAAAATCAAGTTGATTTGCTTTGGGAGGCGCTCTTGGGCTGTCTTGAGGCCATTTGGGGCAGGGATTTGACGGGGACTTGCTGGAACCTGCCCAAGGTAATTTTCTGGCGGGGACCCCCAGGGGCCGCCCCGCGCGCGCAGTAATAATAATTGGCAGACCTCCATAATTCGAGATTCGAGCATGCTTTTGGCCCATTGGACTGGCGAACTTCACATTACTGTTAGAACTCATCCCGCATATTCATCTTACCGTGTGTTGTATTCATGTTCACCGATTGCTTATGTTGCGATCATCCCACGTCATCCCAGCATGCGCTTCTGAGGTAACTGTACCGCTCGGTGGTGATGCCGCGCTGCCCTCTAGCGACCACGCCGGCTTCTGGCGCGCTGACACCGCGGACAGTGACTCATCTTGAGAGGGAGGGGGAGGGAGGATGGGGGGGGGCAAGTGGGGTGATGAGGATTGTTTGAAGGGGATGCTGAGAGGGGGTTGGCTGCTCCCAGCGCACATTCGGAGGCTCGGACAGGGAGGGCCCCGGGGGCCTCCTGCCTTGGTAGGCCCAGGCGCGCCGCGCTGACCGGCCGGCGGGCGATATTGATTTGTCCAGCAACGGCCGGCACGCTTCGTAGGCGGCGATGCGGCGGCATGGCCGACAGGGCGAAATGAGGGAGCGCCTTGCCTTCCCACTCCTCCAGCCTCCCTCCTCTATCCTCCTGCCTACCTCACTCACCTTCGCCGATGAGGTGCGCTGCGAAGCATATGCGGCGTGCAGAAATGTTTTCGCTCAAGGACGGGTCTGGCCCTGATCTGTAAACGGAACGCTCATCCCAAGTAACCACGCAGAGGAGCAGGCGTCGGAGAGACCCGCATCCTACCTCAACGAAGTTCCCACCCTTCAAGCTCGAGTCAGTCGTCACTCCGTGGTTGGAAGTCCGAGCTCTGTGGGTGGGGAAGTTGGGAGTTTCTGCTGGTTCAGGTTCTGAGGCCGAGGGTGCCTCCTACGGGCTCGAAAGGTCCGAATCTCTGGATATGTACAGGGTAGCTGCGTTACATGGTTTCCTGGATCCGAAGGAAGCGGTTGCTGGGTGCCGCTCGAGCGCAGCAGAGAGGCCAGTGTTTTGCAGATCCACGGAGACCCCCCTTCATTTTAGCTGATGTCTGAAAGTTCCACTGGGTGCGAGTGAGCTTGATCGATTTTCTCATACAGCCTGATACAGCCTTCCCCATCGTCGTGCTCCTCGCCCTGGTGACGAGAAAGAAAGAGGAGAGAGAGCGAGAGAGATACAGTGTGTGTGTGTGCGTCTTCGGCAAAGGGGAGCAGCAGAGCTGGGACCGTCACGTTATACTGTCGGATGCGCGCTCGGCCTGGGCGTGCTGGAGGAATAGTCTGGCTGGTATCGTGCCAGCCTTCCAGCAGCTGTTCTCAGCAGGAGAAGGAGGAGAATCAGCAGCAGGAGGACGGAGGACGGAGGACGGACGAGAAGGCGGAGGAAGATGAGGAGGAGGAGGAGGAGGAGGAGGAGGAGGAGCGTGGTGGAGGATGGAGAGCGGGGAGAGTTTGACGGACTATGGAGGAGGAGGACAGGACAGGAAGGAAAGGAGGAGGAGGAGGGGGAGGAGGGGGAGGAGGAGGAGGAGGAGGAGGAGGAGGAGGAGGAGGAGGAGGAGGAGGAGGAGGAGGAGGAGGAGGAGGAGGACAGGAGGAGGAGGAGGAGCACGACGGAGGACGGAGGGCGGAGCAAGAACGACGAAATACGTAGGACGGACGACACGGACAAGGAGGACGAGGAGGAGGAGGACCGGTGTAAACTCGAGAGTCATCAACGATGTTGGAGAATGAGCCTTCCCTCCAAGCTCCCTCTTCATAGGCCCCTACCACGGTTCATTTCCATTGAGGGGACTGCCTCGTTGGAAGACAACCATTTGAAGACCCCGAAGCATGCCAAAACATTGTTCTCGGGATTTCAACGCCACGGATCAACCTGACCGTTGTGTTTTGATGATCCGGAATCGTGTTTGAACGTCAAATTTTTCAACATCGTGAATTCACATACTTGTTGCGCCCGCATAATCCTGAATCGTTCCAAAGCACAACTTCTGCTACGTTGATCTTGGGAATCCGTGAAACTCTTTACGAAGTTTTAAAACGAATGTGCGCGGCGCTGAGGCGAGAGCCACAGTTCGAAAACCACCCGCCCTCAATCCGTGAAGCTCTTGCAAATATTTGAAACGAATGCGCGCGGGCCGAAGGCGAGAACCACATTTTGAAAACGACCCGCCCTCAATCCGTGAAACTATTGCACATGTTTATCGCGAGTATGCGCGGCGCTAAGGTGAGAGCCACATTTTGAAAACCACCCGCCCTTAATCCGTGAAGACCAGCATTTGTTTTATAACGGATGTGCGCGGCGCTGAGGCGAGAGCCACAGTTCGAAAACCACCCGCCCTCAATCCGTGAAGCTCTTGCAAAGGTTGAACGAATGCGCGCGGGCCGAAGGCGAGAACCACATTTTGAAAACGACCCGCCCTCAATCCGTGAAACTCTTGCACATTTCTATCGCGAATATGCGCGGCGCTAAGGTGAGAGCCACATTTTGAAAACCACCCGCCCTCAATCCGTGAAGCTCCAGCATTTGTTTTATAACGGATGTGCGCGGCGCTAAGGCGAGAGCCACATTTTGAAAACCATGCGCCCTCCATCTGTAGAATTGCTACCACTGTTTAAGCTTCAGAGTCACACGTTGTGAGGAAGTCTCAGGCGAAACGCCCGGCCCGCCCTAAAAACTGGCCTCGGGGTGCGACAGGGAGAAGTTATGTATAAGGAAAAGGAAGGAGGAGGAGGAGGAGGAGGAGGAGGAGGAGGAGGAGGAGGAGGGAGGAGGAGGAGGAGGAGGAGGAGGAGGAGGCAGGACGGGGAGGAGAGGCGGGAGGAGGAGGACGAGGAGGAGGAGGGGGAGGAGGAGGAGGAGGAGGAGTGCGAGGCATGACGGAGGATGGAGGGCGCAGGAAAGACGACGGAGGACGAACGACGCAGGAGGATGAGGAGGCAGCGGGCAGGCTGACCTCCATGAAAGTTTGGCGGATCGCGGGGTTCCATAGCCCGCGCAGCGCGTCTCTCCTCCTCCTCCTCCTCCTCCTCCTCCTCTCCTCCTCCTCCTCCTCGTCCTCCTTGTCCTCTCCTCCTCGTGCTCCTCCTCCTCCTCGTCCTTCTCGTTCTCCTCCACATCCTCCATCCCTCCTCCTTGTAGATAACTCCTCCTCCTCCCTGCTGCACCCCGAGACGGGTCGGTAGGGCGGCCGAGCAATTCGCCTGAGACTTCCCCACCATTTTTTAACCTCGCCGCGGGGGCAGAGCAGATTTGCTTCTGATTTTTTGGGTTTTTCGGTTTTCACATTGCATTTTGGGCGCGCGCCTGGTGCCCAGAAGGATCGCTGGGGGCGACCAGAACAACGCCCGGAAGAGCGCCTGGGAGCGCGCTGGCGCGAGCACCCGGGCGAGCCCAGAAGAGTGCCGAGAACAGCGCCCAGGAAAGCGCCATCAAGAGTGCCAAGAATATGGCCCGGACGCGAATCTGGAAGAGCGCCCGAAAGAGCGCCCGGAAGTGCGCGCAGAAACGACCGATTTTGCGACCGATTTCGCGCCCGATTTCGCGTCCGATTTTTTGTGTGTCGATTCAATATTAAAATAAATCAGACGCAAATCGGATTTAAAATCGGACAAAATTCGGGCGCAAATCGGACGCAAAATCGGACGCAAATCGGACGCGAAATCGGATGCAAAATCGGGAACAAAATCGGGCGCTGATGGTGTCGACCATTTCTGGGCGGATGAGGCAGCGTATCACGGTGCATCATGGCGAGGTCTGGTAGGGTGTGCATTGTGGACCCACGCGCGCAATTCAGCGTTGGAGTTTTAGCGATGTGGCGAACGACAAACTGCGATATCGCGCTGTGTCCAGGTCGGGCCAAATCGACAGAAAAATCAGATCGCCGCTTCTGCGGCTGTTTTTCAGGTGACATTTTTGACCTTGAAACTTGACATTGATAACAGCGTCATGGATGGAGGGCGGGTTGCTTTCAAAATGTGGCTTTCGCCTTAGTGCCACGCACATTCAGCCTGAAAGTCTGCAAGAACTTCACGCATAGAGGGCGGGCCGTTTTCAAAATGTGGCTCTCGCATTAGCGCCGCGCACATTGTTGTTGTAAGTTTGCCAGAGCTTCTCGGATGGAAGGTGGGTGGTTATTGTCTTCGCGCCGCGCACAGTTGTCTTAGAAATTTGCGAGAGCTTCATGGATGGAGGGCGGTTTGTTTTCAAATTGTGGTTCTCGTTTTAGCGCCGCGCGCATTCGTTTGAACAGTGTACAAGGGCTTCCCGCAGTGAAAATGGATCATAGGAGCAGAGGGAAATTGGAGGGAGGGTTGATCGCAAAACCGTTGATATGGGTGTTATGTATACGCTGGTCCTCCTTCTCCCGCCTCCTCGCGCTTCCTCGCCGCCCACCCCCCTTCTCATCCCCATCCCCCTTTTCCTCCTCTTCATCCTCCTCCAACCTCTCCTCTCCTTCCACCTCTCCTCATCATCCCGCCTCCTCCCGCCTCTCCTCATGCACCGCCGCCGCCTCCTGCTCCTCCTCCTCCACCCGCCTCTCCTTCTCCTCTTTCTCCTTCTTCTCTTTCTCCTTCTCCTCTTTCTCCTTCTCCTCTTTCTCCTTCTCCTCTTTCTCCTCCTCCTCCTCCTCTTCTTTCTCTTTATGGTAATTATTCCCTGCCGCACCCCGAGGCTGGTCGAAAAGGCGGGCCGCGCGTTCCGCCTGAGACTTCCTCACCATTTGTGACTCTGAAGCTGACAGATGCAGGGCGGGTGGTTTCAAAATGTGGCTCTCGACTTAGCGCCGCGCACATTCGTTTTCAACATGAGCCAGAGTTTCACGGGTTGAATGGCGGGTCGTTTTCAAAATGCAGTTTTCGTCTTCGTCTCAAGACATTGCAAGAGCTTCACGGATTGAGGGCGGGTGGTTTTCAAAATGTGGCTCTCGTCTTTCGCCGCGCACAGTCGTTTTAAAGTTTCGCAAGAGTTTCACTGATTGAGGTTGGGTGGTTTTCAAAATGTGGTTCTCGCCTTAGCGCCGCGCACGCTCGTTTGAAGTTCGCAAGAGTTTCACTAATTCTCATAGTTACCGTGCCAGAGATGCTGTGCTGAACCGATTAAGGATTGTCAGGGCGCAACAGTGACGTTGCTTCGTTGTGTTGAAGTTCTAAGTGTGGCGTTCTGGCACGATTCAGGATCGCCAAGACATCACAATCAGGTACTCGTGGCGTTGAAGTCCTGAGAACGGTGTTTGGGCACGCTTCATGGTTTTTACAACCGCAATTCCCAAGTGGAAACGAACCCTTGTAGGGGCCTATGAAGAGGGAGCTTAGAGGGAGGAAGTATTCCAACATAGCTGACGAGTCTTAGGTTTACACTGGTCCTCCTCCTCCTCCTCCTCCTCTTCTCCTCCCGCCTCTCCTCCCCGTCCTGCCTCTCCTCCTTCCGTTCCCCCCTCTCTCTTGCCGCCTCCCCCTTCTCTTTCTGTGCCCAGGGCTCAAGGGCCGCAGCTCGGGGTGCCGCCGGCGCCCGTGGCATGGCCCCGATGGAGCCGGCCAAGGCAGGGGAGGAGGGGGAGCTTGGCTAACCTGGGTCAGCTTGGGGCAGCCTGGGCAGCCCGTGCCAGCCTGACCAGCCTGGGCAAGCCTGGGACGATTTGTTTGCAATTTTTTAATCGTGTTTGAGCATTTGTTTGACAACTTTTTGTGTTTTCCGTCCAAAATCCGCCTGTACGAGGACGCCCGACCTAATGTTAGCAAGACCCGATGTGTTTGTTCCGTTGCTCTGTTCCTCTAAATTGCCCACGCAAGGCGGATTGATATCGATGCCCTGCTGTAGGCCTTGATTAGTAGGTCGACCCTGCCAAGTCAAAGGTATCCTTGTGTCCTGTGTCTCGCTACCTATGCCTCCTACATTCCTACGGCAATGTGGCCCCCGCAAGGGTTTTGTGTCCTCTCGCGTGTCCTGTGCAATCCAGTCCGACTGTAAGTCTCCGAGCAGCCTTTTCCGAGGCACGCCGGGGGGGGTGTTTTCCAGGAATCTTTCGAGGCACGACCACAAGTATCTAACATCGCGGGTGCTGTGCATTTTTGTTTTGCATTGCCACCTTGGACGGATCAAGATATGTCCAGTTGGCTTTTGGACGGCTCTCGGGCCGCCTTTGACGGCCATCCCCGAACAGTTGCGCGATTGGAGTCGCCGCAATTTATGGGCGCAGCCCCATGCAGCCCCTTGCCCCCAGGTATCTCTACGCTTGATGCCTGGCGTAAGGACTCGCAGTCTTCAATCGGGCCCTGCGCATCTTCGCTTCTGGCCATCCCTTTATATCGTGGTCAGAGATGATGCGGAATTCTCCATCGAACGGACCTGGTGACCCCATGTGACCTCTCGCGGGAAGACAGCGTCAGAATTAGGGTTCCTGGACTTCCCCGCCAAATGGGTTTCGAAGTTGCGGGACCCCAGGATCTTCACGGTCTTGGTTTCTCTTCCTCCTCCTCTTCATTCCTCATGCGGAAGCCGATGGTTCCCAGAAGTTGACAATGCCAGCATCCCTGCACTGTCATCCCAGAGGATAACCGCGGCTCGATGCCCGAGCGGTTTCCACACACGCAGCAGCAACCGTTGTGGGCAGTTGCATCTTGGATGCCGCTGAGATGTCAGTTTCTGATCACACTTCTCTGGTGCTCCTTCGCAGCAGCACGCCATAGTTCATGTATAGCTTACAGTCGGACCGATGTATAAGATCGAGGTCGGTTCGGGGAGGGTACCCTAGTGTTCTTCGTGCTTGTTGGATGTTATTGTGCACCCTGGGGAGGGTACCCTTGGATGTTCTGTGTGTCTTGGCTGGCGGAGGATCCCATGTTCTTGAGGGATGTTCTTCTGTCCTGGGTCCGACTGTAGGAGCACCCCAGAATGAATAGATAGCTCATCACCTACTCTGGCATCGTCCTCGCCGCCCACCCGTTGCTTTGGACCTCGGCCGCGAGCGCCAGGCGGGTGCGGCCCTCGCCAGGGAGACGCTCGAGGAGGCCGTCTCCGGGCTTGGGGAGAAGGAGCTGCAGGAGTGCGGGACCCTTGGCCAGATGCGCAGGAGAATTTGGGGCTACGTCTTGGCGTCGCTCGGACGTGTGTTTTTTTCTCGGCCAGGACCATCAAGGAGGATCGTGGATCATCTTGCGGAAAAAAACACGACATCGAAAAATGCACGTGGAATGGACGTCTGAGCGATGGTAAGACGTACGGTTGAGGGAAAACCTTTTGCAACAACAGCGCCCGAACGTCGATTACACGTAATAGTGACCTTTCGCCGAAGTGACCCTTGGTGCGGGCCCTATGGGGCTCCCCGATCGCTGAACGCGGAGCGGTAGCAGCGGCTTGCGCGCCCGGGTTTGGCCACCCCGCGTCCCCCGTTAAGTCGCGCACTAAAGGTCATTCTTGCACAGGGTCACTCTCACGAGTAGCCGATACGCACGGGTGAGGGAAAAACCCTTGCAACAAGAACAGCGCCCGAATTAGAGTGAACCCAATTTGGCACTGGCAGCTGCTTTGCGCTCGAACTGCCGGGTTCAGATGTTTCTGGCCCCGCTTCCCCAGGGCCGCTTGGGCAACAGGAAGGTGCCCCAGGGTTGAGGTGGGTCATATGCAGTGGGTCCTCCACGCTTGTTGCAAAGTTTGTTCCGTGAACGGTAGCATTGCCTTCCAGCTTTTGCTGCGTCGCTGAAGAGGAAGGGTACGAGAATGTGGGAATTGGTGGGCGTGATAAGGATATGGTTGATGGTGATTCGGTGGATGATGTTACTGGCCTTGGCGATGGTAAGCTTGTTAAGCTGATGCTGGTCCTGTGTTTCGCAGTTAGGGCGTTGGTGTTTATATCGATGGTGATCGTGCTGGTGGTGATGGTGATGGTGATGGTGATGGTGATGATGATGATGATGATGATGACGGTCATGATGCTGTGTGATCATGATGGTGGTTGTAAAAATGACGAGTACGACGCCGGTTGATGATGATGACGATGTCATCATGATCATGTTGATCATGATGATGATGATGATGATGATGGTGGTGGTGATGATAGATGCATGATGTTACTGTTAGTAGTGTGCATGATGATGACTGAGAGTGGTGATGATGTGAGTGATGGTGGTATTGAAATCGCCATCATAGTGGCTTTACTGACAGTGGCTCCGTTCATTGTAGCACTGATGTTTGTGATGATGATTACGATGATGATGATGATTACGATGATGATGATGATGATGATGATGATGATGATGATGATGATGATGATGATGATGATGATGATGATGATGATGATGAAGAAGGTGCTGATGCTGCTGCTGCTGCTGCTGCTGATGATGATGATGATGATGATGGTAATGATGATGGTAGTGATGTCGGTGACTATAGCGGGCATGGTGGCGATTGGGAATTTGACGGCACTTGTCGCAGTGCTGACAATGAATGACAATGGTGATACGGTTTGGAATGATATTTGGACGGTTCAGGGTTCGGGTGTTCGAAGCTCGAACACTCGAGACAAGTATCCGTACCATTGCTTGTGGCGCTGAGGTTTTGCTGATGATGCTGCTGATGAAGATGGTGCTGATGTTGATGATGATGGTGCTGATGATGATGATGATCATCATCATCATCATCATGCTGCTGCTGCTGATGGTGATGGTGATGGTGATGGTGATGGTGATGGTGATGATGATGATGATGATGATGATGATGATGATGATGATGATGATGATGATGATGATGATGATGATGATGATGATGGTTTCACAAATATGGTGCACGCCAATGCCGACGGCCACTTGGACGAGCGCGGCGAAGACATCAATGCCCTGGGGAGCCCGCGGCCGCCCCGCCTCGGCCCGTGGCTCAGCTCTGCGCAGGCTCGCCCGCCCGGGGCGGCCCGATGTGGGCTCCCGGGTTCTCGGGGGGCCCCGAATGGGGTGGTGACCACACCGTGGGGTTTCGGGACTCGGGGTCACCGCACGGTTATGGGACTTTGGGTCGTTCTCCGAGGATGTCCCGGGCGATTGGAGCCTCCAGTGTCCCAAGACGGTGCGGTGGCGGGCCGTGCGGTGAGGTCTTTGCGGATCTCGAGGTTACCGCACGGTCTGTCACCGCACCGCTTTGGGACCCCCAGGGTTCACTCGCGCCGCGCCCAGGGCGCCGCGACAGGCCTCGGAAGAAATTTTCAGTCGGACTGGGTTCGGTAGCAAATCATGGGAGCCTTGTGTACCCTCGTAATTCTGTCTTTCGCGTCGAGTCGCGTCCATTAGCGTCTGGGAGTCGATGAGATAGCGCCGATTTAGCGTCGATTCAGGTTAGATTAGCGTCGATTTAGCGCCGATTAGCGTCGGTTCAGCATACTAGCGTCGATTCGTCAGAGCCGACAAGATGGTTTGGAGGCTCCCATGAGTTGCCACCGAAGGCCTCGGATGGAGTGACAGTCGGGCCGAGGTATAAGATCGAGGTCGATTCGGGGAGGGTGCCCCACTGTTAATTCGTGTCTGCTTGATGTTCTTGTGCATCCTGGGGAGGGTACCCTTGGATGTTTGGCTTGTTTTGGGCCGACGGAGGGTCTCATGCTGTTGAGGGATGTTCTTCTGGTCTAGGTCCGACTGTAGCGAACATTCATGCCACCTTCATTTGTCAATGCCCCCCACATGGTCTAAGTTGGCGTTGGGTTTCACGAGTTGTACTTCGACCGCAGTTTCTCCCCCGCGCGTGCGAACTTTGAATTTGGGGTAGCGAGCGAGCGTCCACTAATTGCTTCCCTCCATCGGATCCACCCCGGTCCGTGGAACAACTCGCGAGTTATAGGCGCCCCCCCTGGCCCGCTGAGCAATTCAAGACTTTATTCACCAGACCCAGGGCCCGACCCGCATCAACTCCCAGGTTGGTTCGCCCCGTTCTGGGCGATCCCTGCCGCGGATTACCCCCCGAATTAGTTCAGGCTGGGGCTGGGGCCAGTTCCAGCTTCACGGATCAATTCGCGAGCTAGCCCACGCAAGTTGGAACCGGCGCTGGCTTCCGATTGAGCAACTCGGGGGTAGGTTCACGTGCGGGGTGAATTGAAGCACCGGCCCAGCGACGAAATAGTTTCCGACATAATATATTTCATGTGGGATCGGGTTCCACCGTTTCCTACTCCTTCCGCCCTAGTTCTGGACATTTCTAGAAGCCCCCACGGCGCTGCTTGGAGTCCCAGGGCCCTTCTGGGCCCTCATTTTTTGTCCTCTCTCTCCGTTTCTATTTCCCTCCTGTTGTCCTTGTTTTTTGTTTGTTTGTTTCTCTCTCTCTCTCTCTTCTCTCTGTCTCTCTTTATGATTATTCCTCTCCCTCTGTATATATATATATATACACACATACATCCATACAAACTGCATTGGCGCTTCGCGCCATGCACTTTGGTCCTTGAGGCTTTGCATATGTTGGTCGTTCGCGCCATCCCTAGTGGCCGTGGAAATTTGACCCCTTCTCTGCGGTGGTTTGCAGAAGTCTTCGAAAGTTCGGGCGGTCCCTGGCCCTTCCAGGGCCTCCAGGGGCCCCCGAAAGGTGCTGGGTGGAGGGCGATGGATAGGAGGGGGCGACTGTCGGGGAGCGAGGGAAGGAAGGGGATATGGGGCAGGACGAGTGGTGGAGCGGCAGAACGAGGAGGAGGACGAGGAGGAGGAGGAGGAGGAGGAGGAATGGACCGAATCTCGGGTTCGCAACAGATTTTCGGGAAATGTGGTTGCGAACCCAGGATTCGGGTCAGTACTAGGGAAAACGCCGTGTGTGTCTTTATCGGAGCCCAGGTCGGCCGGCTTGGAGCCCTGTTGAGCCGTCCTGGAGCCATCTTGGGCCGTGTTAGGGAGCTTGGATTCTCTTGATGGCCTCCCATGACCTTTCTGGGGGCCCTCCGTGACTTCTTTGGCTTCTCTTGGGAGCCTTCCGAGGGCCTCTTGGGTTTCTTTTTGGCTCCTTTGGGGCTTTCTTGTGCAGTCTTGGGGTGCGTAGGCCCTCCTGGTGGCCTCCCATGGCCTTTTTGGGGGCCTCCCGTGCCTTCTTGGGGTTCTCTTCGGCGCCTTCTGGGGGCATGTTGGGCCTCTTTTGGGCTCATTTGGGGCTTCCTTGGGCAGTCTTGGGGCCATCAAGGCCGTCCAGAGGCTCTCTTGGGGGCTTTTTGGGTCGTCTTAGAGCGATACTGTAGGCCTTTCTGGCTGTTGTGGACGCTGCGAAGACCCGAACAGCGAATATGCTGAAATTGCACGTTTCCCTAGGGGAATGAAGCGATCTCTGCGTTTTGAAAGTCCGGTTGAGGACCTCTTGGGCCGTCTTGGGGGCCTCCGGAGGCCATTTGGGTCTTCCTTGGAGCGCTCTAGTGCTGTCTTGGGTCTCTCTTCGGCCTCTCTGATCACCGCTCTTATCGCTTGGGGTCTGCTGGCAAGACCCGGCTAGGCGCCCTGGGAGGTTCCAGACGAGCCGGGGGACCGTTGGCAAGGATGTCCGACTCCCCAGGATCCAGGATTTCCGGGCCCCCCAGACATCCCGGCGCCCAAGAGAAGCCAAAGAAGGCACGGGGGGCCCCCGAAAGACCATGGGAGGCCACCGGGAGGGCCTACGTAGCTCCCGCAACGTTCCTGGAGGACCCAAGCTCCCTCACACGGCCCAAGATGGCCCCACGACGGCTCAACAGGGCGCCAAGCGGGCCCGCCTGGGCTCCAGCAAGATGGCGCCAAGATGGCGCCAAGCGGGCCCGCCTGGGCTCCAGCAAGACCCACACGGCGTTTTCCCTAAAGCTGACCCGAATCCTGGGTTCGCAACCACATTTCCCGAAAATATGTTGCGAACCCGGGATTCGGTTCATTCCTCACGCTCGCGTGCCTTGTTGCGACCCGCTGCACCATGACATCCTCGGCTTGGCATTGCTTTGTACTTTGCAACATTGCTTGACATTGCTTCGGTTTGCTTGGCATTCCCTCCCCCTGCTCCTCTGGTCCGTCCTCCTCCTCCTCATCTGTCTGCCGCTCCACTCATCTTTCTGCCGCTCCACCACTCGTCCTCCCCCAAATCCGCTTCCTTCCCCCCCTCCTATCCTTCGCCCTCCACCCAGCGCTTTTCAGGGGCCTCTGGAGGCCAGGGAAGGGCCAGGGACCGCCCGAACTTTCAAAGACTTCTGCAAACCACCTCAGGGAAGGGATTCAATTTCCGCGGCCACCAGGGATGGCGCGAACGACCAACATATGCAAAGCCTCGAGGACCAAGGTGCATGGCGCGCAGCGCCAATGCAGTCTTATCGGTTTATATATATATATATGTGTATAAATATATGTGTATGTGTTTGTCTGCATTAGTCTCTTTCTCGCTCTCTCTCTCTCTCTCTCTCTCTCCCTTCCTCTCTCCAAGTCCACGCTGAGCTTGAGGAGAAAGACGGCATGCTCAAGGTTATTCGCATTTGCCCTCCGCAGACAGAGGCGGTGCACGGCCCTGTGCACGACCGCTGCTCCGTACGCAAAAGCCAGCAGGATAAGAAATTGTCGGACGGGCTCGCTGGTGGTGATACAGTCGGGGCGCTGAAGAAGGAACCCTTTTCGTTGTGGAGGGACTCGGTATTCCTTGATTGTTTTACAGTCTGCCTTAGGTTTTCTGAGGTTTACCATGGGAAATCGAAGTTTGACTCATGGTAAAAAAATGGGCCTCGTTCTTTGTTCAGGGTTACTTAGGTCAACGCCCCCACGGTATCCTGGATTGGATTCCAACCCGCTCGGCACACAGGACGAGTACGAAGGCAATCTGAAGGAGTTGGGGGACATCGTCAAAACCCGTCTTTGTCAGGGCACGTCGCCCCAGAGCTCGGAAGTTATCCGAATTCGGGTGCTTCAAGACAGGGTTGATTCCTGGCGGTGTAGTTGGCGGAGGATTTGTCGCCGCTTCTTCGGCAGGCTGTGCTTGCAACGGTGCCACTGAGTGGCACTAGTAAACATGTCACGAGCTCTGAACTTCCCGCTGTGAGCTCAGCGGCCGCTATCAGCAAACAAGCCATGACCGAATACGAACGATCTAATCCCTTCTATCCCTCCCCCCCTCCGCCTCTTCTTTCTGGCAGGGGGGGATGCTGAACGACAGAGACGGGGGAGTGGGCAACGGATGGGAAAGACAGGTCGTCTGGAGGACATGGGGATGCAGAGGGGAAGAGCGAGAGGAGGGAGGAGAGCAGGCAAAAGAAAGAGGGGGGCCCAGGAGAAAAAGAGCCGGGGGCGGAAAGCGAGGAGGAGGGGGAACGAGATGGAGGCGAGGGAAGAGGGGCAGGGGAAGGATGAGGAGAACGAGGATCGGCACCCGCACAATCCAGCAGAAGTCTGGGAGGAGGGGGTGGATCGACTGCACGTACCCGTCGGTCGTTGTTAAGTAGGTATTTCTGGATTCCCAGATCCCAATCTACGTACTTCCAGCGCCTTCCTACTTCAAGAATCGATATGTTTTTGCTGTGCTTGTTATTTTATCCGCCTTCCTACTTGCTGTTTTTACCTACTTCCGACCTCCTACTTCTGAGTCACAGTCCTACTTCTTTTCTCCTACTTCCTACTCCCGACCGACGTGTAAGAGTGACCCTTCGCCGGAGTGACCTCCAGTGCGCGCCAGTCCCTCGATCGCGGAACGCGATGCGACAGCCGCGCGCTTGCGCGCCCGGGTGTGCCCCCCCACCCCCCCCCGCGTCCCCTCCCGAAGGCCGCGCACCCGCGCACCAATTTTCATATCCTCGTCCTCCTCCTCCTCCTCCTCCTCCTCCTCCTCGTTGTCCTCCTCCTCGTTGTCCTCCTCCTCCTCCTCCTCCTCCTCCTCACCCTCCTCATCCTCCTCCTCACCCTCCTCTTCCTCCTCCTCTTCCTCCTCCTCCTCCTCTTCCTCATCGTTCTCCTCCTCATCGTCCTCATCCTCATCCTCGTCCTCCGAGTTCGCCACGATGGGGGAGCTCGAAAGTGGATGCGATAGGAGGGCGAAGGGTTGGAGGTGGAGGGCGGGGGTGGAGTAGGGGGTGGGGTTGGAGATCGAGGGTTGAGGGTGGAGATGCTTTCTTCGGCTACCCGGTGTCACTCTTGCGTGCAGCCGAGTGGAGGAGGAGGTGGAGGAGGGAGGAGAACAAGGACGAGGACGAGGACGACGAACAGGACGACGAGAACGGCACTTCTCCAGCAGACCTCCGCCCTCGCGCGTCCCCACCGCGGCGTTCGCGGCGCTGTTCCGAGCGCCAGGAGATGGGCGTGAGGCTGACCAGGAGCGCCGCGGGCATGGAGGAGATGCTCGAAGAGCTCGAGGCGTGGGCGGTGGCGGGGTGATTCCATGCGAGGTGGGATATATCCATGGCCACGTCCTGTGGAGCCGACGCCCTTGGACCCCAGCGGGCGGTCGATATGGATGCATGCTGGCCCCAGGGGGGCCCGAATGTGTTCATATCCACCGCCTGCCGAGGTTCCCGAAGATCGATCTCCCAGGCGGTGGTTATGGATAAATCCCCGCCTCGAACTCCAGGCCTCCCAAATGGGGGCGAAGTAGATCTAAGTAGATGGTGTCGGCGGATCACGCCGCATCGTCGATGCATCGGCGATGCGGCTCGATGTGGAATGCGATGTGCTCCACGCCAGTGGCGCCGATCCATCGCCGACGTTGCCGATGCATCTCCGATGCATCGGTGATGCTTCGACGACGCGGTGCGACCCTCTGACCCCGTCTACTCGGACCTTGTAGGTGGTTCAGAGATGAGATCCTGCGGGATGGGGTCCTCAGGACGAGGTGCGTCAGGCAACGTAAATCCACCCCTGGATCCCTTCCTGTCATTTGGCCCACATCCCTCATGATCCCACCTGTGAACCAGGAGGAGGAGGAGGAGAAGGAGGAGGAGGAGGCGGAGGAGGAGGAGGAGGACCAGGAAAATGATGATGAGGAGAAGGAGGGGGAGGAGGGGTAGTAGTAGTAGTAGTAGTAGTAGTAGTAGTAGTAGTAGTAGTAGTAGTAGTAGTAGTAGTAGTAGTAGTAGTAGTAGTAGTAGTAGTAGTAGTAGTAGTAGTAGTAGTAGTAGTAGTAGTAGTAGTAGTAGTAGTAGTAGTAGTAGTAGTAGTAGTAGTAGTAGTAGTAGTAGTAGTAGTAGTAGTAGTAGTAGTAGTAAGTAGTAAGTAGTAAGTAGTAAGTAGTAAGTAGTAAGTAGTAAGTAGTTAGTAGTAAGTAGTAGTAGTAGTAGTAGTAGTAGTAGTAGTAGTAGTAGTAGTAGTAGTAGTAGTAGTAGTAGTAGTAGTAGTAGTAGTAGTAGTAGTAGTAGTAGTAGTAGTAGTAGTAGTAGTAGTAGTAGTAGTAGTAGTAGTAGTAGTAGTAGTAGTAGT